GGACTGCAATAACGTAATAGACATATATAGATAGCTATAGCTGAAGTTAGATCTATGCATGTTTCATAAATCCAAGTCTTTTTATGCACTGCAATCCTCTCATTCTGAAAAAAAAGGTCAAAATATCTCTCTTCTTTGTTAATTTTCATTCTTTTTTGAACACTTGAAATGGTAAAGGGCTCAAAAAAATTGTATATTTTTTCTGATTATTTTCTTTTTAAAATCTTTCTCTCATGGAGCCAATCAAATCCTGAATTGATTTTTGGGGTATCAATCGAATTGGAATATGTAATATCATACTCTACTAAAAGTCTATTTGTTTGTTTTGTTGCAAATTCTAATTTGAGTAGCAAAATTCCTCTTTTCATAATGCGTATTTCATAGACGTAGTGAGGTAAAATTTCATGTGATTCAGTAAAGTAAAAAGAACATAAATTCCATTATTGCTAAATATATTCATGTGATTCGATGAAGAATGACAGCAAATCATGGGATATTTTCTATAAAATAAAAAAGGGGTAATAAAAAATGCTTGGGGTTGGGAATGAAGGAATGTCTACACTACCTGGATTGAATCAAATACAATTTGAAGGGTTTTGTAGATTCATTGATCGGGGCTTAACAGAAGAACTTTTGAAGTTTCCAAAAATTGAAGATAGAGATCAAGAAATTGAATTTCAGTTATTTGCGGAAACATATCAATTGGTAGAACCCTCAATAAAAGAAAAAGATGTTGTATATGAATCACTTACATATTCCTCTGAATTATATATATCCGCGGGAGTAATTTGGAAAAACAGTCAGGATATCCAAGAACAAATTATTTTTATTGGAAACATTCCTCTAATGAATTCCCTGGGAACTTTTATAGTAAATGGAATATACAAAATTGTAATCAATCAAATATTGCAAAGCCCCGGTATCTATTATCGGTCAGAATTGGACCATAATGGAATTTCAGTCTATACTGGCACAATAATATCAGATTGGGGAGGAAGATTAGAGTTAGAAATTGATAGAAAAGCAAGGATATGGGCTCGTGTAAGTAGGAAACAGAAAATATCTATTCTAGTTCCATCATCAGCTATGGGTTCGAATTTAAGTGAAATTCTTGAGAACGTTTGTTACCCCGAAATTTTCTTGTCTTTCCTCAATGAAAAGGAGGGAAAAAAATAAGGTCAAAAGAAAATGCCATTTTGGAGTTTTATCGACAATTTGCTTGTGTAGGCGGAGATCCCATATTTCCTGAATCTTTATGTACGGAATTACAAAATTTTTTTTCAACAAAGATGTGAATTAGGAGGAATTGGACGGCGAAATATGAACCGAAGGCTGAATATTGATATACCCGAGAACAATACATTTTTGTTACCGCGAGATATATTGACAGCTGCGGATCATTTGATTGGAATGAAATTTGGAATGGGTACACTTGACGATATGAATCATTTGAAAAATAAACGTATTCGTTCCGTAGCAGATCTCTTACAAGATCAATTTGGATTGGCTCTCGTTCGTTTAGAAAATCTAATTATAGAAACTATATGTGGAGCAATTAGATATAAATTGATACCGACTCCTCAGAATTTAGTGACTTCAACGCCATTAACAACCACTTATGAATCTTTTTTTGGATTACATCCATTATCTCAAGTTTTAGATCAAACCAATCCATTGACCCAAATAGTTCATGGAAGGAAATTGAGTTCTTTGGGTCCTGGAGGATTGACGGGGCGAACTGCTAGTTTTCGGATACGGGATATCCATCCTAGTCACTATGGACGCATTTGTCCAATTGACACCTCTGAAGGAATCAATGTCAGACTTATTGGATCCTTGGCAGTTCACGCAAGGATTGGTCGTTGGGGGTCTATAGAAAGTCCATTTTATGAAATTTCTGAGAGATCAAAAAGAATACGAATGCTTTCTTTATCACCAAGTAGAGATGAATACTATATGGTAGCGACGGGAAATTTTTTAGCACTGAATCGAGGTATTCAGGAGGAGCAGATTGTTCCAGCTCGATACCGTCAAGAATTTCTTACTATTGCATGGGAACAGGTTCATCTTCGAAGTATTTTTCCCTTCCAATATTTTTCTATTGGAGCTTCCCTCATTCCTTTTATCGAGCATAATGATGCGAATAGAGCTTTAATGAGTTATAATATGCAACGTCAAGCAGTTCCTCTTTCTCGGTCCGAAAAGTGCATTGTTGGAACTGGATAGGAACGCCAAGTGGCCTTAGATTCGGGAGTTCCCGCTATAGCCGAACACGAGGGAAAGATCGTTTATAATGATATTGAGAAGATTATTTTATTTGAAAGTAAGTTTATCTATAAAAAAATAAATTCATGGTCTCCTTCTTTCTATTAATAGTAATGATCCAGAATTTGAACAGAAAATAGATCAATTTGATAGAAAATTATTATTAAATGAAATTGGTTTTTTTTTTAACTTAATCAGTAAATTTTCGGAAAAAGAAATTTTTATCTCGATTTCAGAAAAAGGAATTTACATAAGAGAAAAATATTTACGAAACCTAGGGCTTCAATTTCTGAAATCCCAAGTTCTTCACTCGCCGTTGTTGGGCTCTTCAATCCGCCACCGACGGTGTCTCTCTCTGCGCGTAACTTACGTATCCGCCATAAGCCGCTGAAAACCGGCGAAGGCCAACCGTGAAGGACCTCCATCGGATTCTCGCCTCCACGACCATAGGTACGATACAAATTTCCAATCGATTTGTGTGTTGTTGTTGTTTGTTCTTTGTATTTGAAAAAATAGAAAAACTTTGAGAGAAATTTGAGAAGAAGTTGAAGGAAGAGAGAAGAAGATATTATGTTGTGTTGTCTCTTTTCCACGATATGCTTTCTTTTCCTTTCTTAATACTATTCCATAAATTATTTATTTTTATAGACACGTGTGAGCTCCCTATTAGTTGTTGTCTTTATGTTGAAAAGGTCAAAATTTTGCTTTATGTTACAGAAAGTAGAGGCGTACCACATGCTACTTCTTATTATTTTCTTTTTGAATTAATCTAATATTTCTTTTTATCACCATTAGTTTTTAGGTAAATAATGACGCCATAGTCGTTGACAGATCAGACTCCCATTGCAAACCGAGATCTTTCTGAACAGAACACAATCGCCTTGAGAGTTTAATTGAAACATCAAGACATGGAAACGAATAACGTACCGTATTGTGGCAGACAACGGCGGTCGGAGAAAGACGAAGTTGCAGCGTAGAACGTTGTTTGATGTTTCAATTTTTTTGTTTTAAAATTATTTGAAAGAGAAGTTGATATATTTTATTTTTAAAATTATCAAAACTTATAATTTCTAGGAAATATTTTAATGTGGAATTTTTCTTTGAAGTAATTTTTTTAATCAAATTCAAACATGGTGTTCAAAAAGTTTATAAGCATTTCTTAAAAATAAAATAAAATTCTAGTTTGTTATCTAACACATTTATTGTGAGAATTTTTTTTAAGACTAATTATTAATAGTTAATTATTAGTATATATTTACAATTTTGTTAAGATTTGAACTCCGAATCTCCAACTCATTTTAACCCTTAACTCAAATACTTTTGTTATGAGATTAAACTTAACCACTATGTTTCTTAAATTGAATTATATTGATTTGTAAATTTATTTTTTAAAATTATTAAAATTCATAGTATATCATTCATATTTTTTATTGTACTAAAAAAACTATTCATACTTTCTACAAATGCATATATGCAATTTTACATTCTACTTTATATTTATTTAATCCATTTTTATACTAAAATAAATAATGAGTTAAAAATTAAAATACTTTCCATCACATGTTAGAACATCACTAAAAGATGGTAAAAAGAACTAAAATCACATATTCCTTTCAAATTTAGTTAAAAAAAAAAAAAAGTTTAAACATATTAAAATGGTATTAAGTCAGTTTAGTTGATAAATATACAGAAATATTCAAACATTTTTTTATTAATGTGTAAAATTCCAACCATTATACTGCTAGTTAAAAATATATTTAATTCTCTTAATTTTTTTTAAAAAAAATAAACAGATCAGATATATTAATTATTTAATAAATTTAAAAAGGTGAAGTGTTTTTTATAACAAGAAAAAGAGTATAATTACTGTCATTCTATATTAACATTAATTATATAATTTTAGAACAAATGGTGTTTAAGTTAAATATGAAGAAAAAAAATTGAAAACTTTTAACATGGGAAGTATACAAATTTTAGGAGCCAATTCAAAAAACAACCAATCGAAATCTTTATTCTAAAAATGACCAATAATGCAAGATCATAGTCTCAAATTCATCTATGAAAAAGAAATGAGTGAAGTACAGTAAATTTGAGAGGAAAGATATGCATATATGATATATCCTCGTAGTTAGTATTTTAACGGTTTCATCAATTCAAACTCTAAAATCAAGATTGCATAAACACATTGCAAGTAATGCCAAAAATGGTACTCACTGTTTCAAAATAACCATTTTAACAAATAAATTTTATTTTAAAATAACTATCATTTTCATTTTTCAATATAGTAATAGTTATTGTTTTTTCAATTATATCACTTACTTTTTACTTTCTATATTACTTCAATATATTAACAAAGTTAATTTTATAAAAGTATAATATTTTATGACAACACCATTACATTTCTTAATTTGTGTGAAAAATCTTAAACGACAATAATTTTAGAACGGAGGCAGTACTAAATATCAATAGGCTTGTCTAAGAAAAGAAAGTGTACAATATTAATTCTGCTTAATGAACAAGTTTTTCTTAATAAAAAAGATAAAGTAAGGTCAAAGATGAGTACATAGACATTCCAACTAAGTTTACATTCCCATCACAACGGCTCTATTACAACAACATCTTTAGGTGAAGAGAAAAAGAGTGTAATTTATATAAAAATAAAAATAAAACCATTGCTTAAATCTAAACTCCGGGAAGACCAAATCTACTACGATTGGAAACTTCAAAAACTTAGTGAAATTAGAACCATTCAAAACAAAAGAGGCAATATTGTTAGCACAAAGGTTATCCCCCCTATATCTATAGCTGCTTCTCAAATTGAGTGTACTAGAACTTTTGAGCAAGTCATGTTATGTTGGTGGAAACAATTTCCATTAATCCACGTTAGTAATGCTTTACATTGGCATCATGGTGTTGGTGTGTGTTCCTTTGAGCAAATGATATATGGCAACAAGTTTCCTTTTGCAGTGTCATGTAATTATCACAATTCTCTTTCAAGCAACAACCATGCTAGCAAGCTTAAGCTGCTTATCTAAAGGCAAGTACTCTTTTAATAATACACACGTATGATGCATCACTTGCAGTAGAAAATCCCCCATATGATTCTCACTTTCATCAATGGTTTGCGAACCTTCAACATAAGAGCTGTCTGCTATGTGCATTGTCCAATCATATATACGTTCTGTCGAAGAAAAGAGATGGGAAACAACAGTTTCTGCAACAACATTCCAGCTTTTATCTGCTGCTAGAAGAGACACAAGTGTGACTGGTAGATCATTCAGTACCGTTTGTTGGTCAACAATTATAAAAGGCATGTATTTGCAGCAGGTAGCAGATAGCAGACCAATAAACTGCAGTGCCTGCAGAATAATGGAAGTGATGGATATAAAGTGAGTAGGAGCTAAAACAATTTCTACCCGACAAATTTTAATAAAGATATTAATCTCAGAGTTTCCTACCTGAGAAGGAAAACTGGTCACGCAGCTAATTTCAAGAGCATCAATAAGCCACTGCCTTTTAAAACCTATCTCTGCATGATACAAAACAGCCGCAACTTCCAAGAGAACATCCCAGATTCCTGCAAAAACTTAACCTTAGCATTGACATTTCAAGCTCAATATGAGGCCAAGTTCCTAACATTTTTGAAGTGAATGAATAAACAGCAACTCTGATTCGATTCAGGCACAACTAATCTGAGTTGTGATACACAACAGAATACTAACCTTGTGATTTGAAGTTTAATATGTAAGATTTCATTTTTCCTAGTTCAATTAGTGGAAGAGAACCAGTTTTCACAAGCTTGACTTTAGCATGAACCTTCTTTTGGACTTCAATAGATTTGAATGAACTCTGAACAAACTCCTCTTGTGAAACCTGTGCATATAAATGACCATTTCTGTTACATAACTTAAACAGACTTACACATTTTGTATCCAATAAGTTTGACCTCAATTAATTAGAATCAATGCCAAGGACGATTAACTTTAAGTAAACAACAAAACAAAACATTTGAAAATAATTGAATCAAATGTATGCATACCTTCAGGAAATCCAATAGCCAACCTTGTGGAGCCTTCCCTAAGCATCTTACAGCCTCAGACCATTCCTTTACAGAACTTGTGTCCTCGGCAACTACACTGCCAGAAGATTCCACAACTGGTAATAAGGTAAACAGAACCTCCATGCATCTCTCAACATGTGATATGTGGCTCGAAGTATCCACAGAAACTTCATTAAGGCACTCATAGAGACCCTTCCAGCAAGAAAGGCGCAACAAGTATTTTTTGTTGGTGTCATACTCTTTGTATGAATTCAATGAACAAAAATGATAACCCACATCACCAAATAGCTTCTCAAGCCTGGAGTTTGAATATACTTTTACAAGGTCAGCTAGATGATTTAGCAGACAGCACTGCAGATTTATTTCTAGTGTCTTAAACCGGGAAAAGTCGGACAGCTCGTCAAGAAAGGTTAACAGTGAATCAAATTGATTTGCATGAGCTATTGCAAACAGCACGCATTCCTCCCTTAGAGTTCCTTTCTTACAAACAGAATCTTTTGCTAATGAATCAGTAATCTTGGCCTCATATCTCATACAACGCCTGTCCCCCAATCCATGCTTGGTAACCTGGGAGCTCTTGAAAGGCACCCTAATATAGCAACAATTGTACCAGCATGTATAGTACTACCTTGCTGAATTTGGACAAGACATAAATTGAGAAAAATGAGAGACCAATAAAAGCAAACAGTATAGTTAATGTAATAGACTTGTTAAGTATAGTATGTATATAAAGAGTTTATCATATACAACTATGCCAACTTAATCTAGAACACAGAGTTAAATAGAAGAATCATCATTAGCAGATACAGCTATGAGTAGCAATATGGTAGGCACGCCACAAAGGAGATGGGGTAATACAAATATGAGTTTCATGGATGAACCAAAAGCAACAAAATTTAAGATAACTATGTTGTTTAAGCACAGTGGTTGCAAATGACGCATGCACTTACGCATGAAGAGTTGCATCCCTAATTACACTAGGAAAATAATATTGACAATGACTACTATAATATGTTATAGCATAGTCACTAGTGTTGAAATAATAATAATAAACCTATATAGTTTATAACAATATTGAAATGACTTTAGCATGATTAGTATATTTAACGAGACGGAAAAAAAAAATGAAACCAATCAATATGAAATAAATTTATAAGTGATCTCAACAATTGATTTTATGTGTCATGTGATCTTTGAAAGAAACGAATTTCAGAACCCAATTTGAATGATCAGTAGAGTTACTTATAAGTATAACTATAACATAGTTTTTATAATTTGAAGAATGATCAGAAGAATTAATTATAAGTATAACTATAACATAGTTTCTATAATTTGAAGAATGATTTTTAGGATTTAAACTGCTAAAGTAGTTAGTTAATTTTCCAACTCCCGGACATGAAACATAAACTCTTCAGAGAATTTAAAGATAAAATGTTTACATCAAGTTCAGAATTAATTACACAGGCACACAAGCCTCGCATCAAACAAAGAAATGTATCACAAAGGGGAAAAACAGAGTTGCAGAGGAAGAGAAACACAAACAGATAATGAAAGACAAATAAAGAACATTAAATATTTGCACACAAAATATGGGCAAGAAATTGACCTCGGTGTTTTTGAACTCCATAAGCCACAAACTAAGTTTCAAAACCATACTGTCCTCTGGAAAATTATGAGAAACGGATTTTGAATTAGTTTCAGCCACATTACCATCATCAACCCCCAAACGTTCCTTGGACCATAAATGATGTCGAAGGAAGGCAAGTGCCCAAGAAGCAAACTGTTGTAGCTGATGATTATCGGGATTCTGAGCCACAAGAAACATTTCTTGCACCAATGATGTCAAATATGGCTCACAGACAGAGCTTGAAAGGAGGGGAGTCGTGACAGAAGAAGAATCCTGCAGTTTACATTGTACGATATTTGAATTTGAATATGAAACAGGGAAAAGAGACAAATACATATTGAGACAAATGGGAACAATTTTATGATAAGGTAAATTACCTCCTTCTGATAAGTAGATTGCCTGGTATAATTTGGAAAATTCATATAGACCAAAATTCCTGTACCAGCTCCCATAGCAGCAACTACTCCCAGCATACCACCAAGATGAACAAGAAAAGGGAAAGGATTGGAATAGCATTTCCTGAATAGTTCAAGTAAAGACTTAACACACTCAACTTCAACAGAATGAACACCTTCATTCAGTATACACGAAATTACTGTCCCAGCTCCAATGCACGACGCCATCAGTAAACTATGGTGCAAAACACCAGACTCTTTCACAGATATTAACTCAGAAATAAACTTTTTAAAGCCAAGCACAATATGTTCCAACTCATTATCATCCATCAATTCCATTCTTTGGCAAAAAGTCACTATTGTGGGAAGTGCAATACAAGATCCTAATGCCAAAATAATATCAGATTTTCCCCCTTGCAAATCAGAGCTTTGAAATAGAGAATTCATGTTTGGAAGCCATGATATTACCATTTTTTTAATCTTGATAACAGTCTCTAACTCTCCAGCTCTGTATAATGCACTGACGGAGGTAGCCAAACCAAGAACAAGTCCGGCAACACCCCATATATCTTCTTCCAAGTCTCTATCCTCGGAGGACGACAATAAAATCCATAACGAATGATGCTCAAGTGTAGTGAAAGACAACTGGAAGCCATAATTCAGAACGGTAACATCATACATGGGAAACCGACATAGGTAATATCGCCCACAAATATGACCATCAACATCGAGAAGATAGCAACAATTTCTCGAGTTTCCCAAAGATCTTCCATGATTCAAAGTGTCGTAGGTCATCTAGCCAATATCATTGGCTCAACGGGAAGGACAAATCCACCAGGAGGATACCAATGAAATTCACCCATAGAAATATTCTCAAACAGATGCTTTAGAAAAAACTCTTAATCTCCAAATTATACGGTTTCTCAAAACATTTCGTGCAAGACCCCCATGACGACTAAATGTCCAAGGGGAGGAAATAAGTCATTGCCACCATAAGTATGTGAGGACAATATCACCAGAAATGCAAGCCAACACCACCACAAGTGATCGTTGATACCACCATAAATTGGAGTAAACGGTATTATAGGCAACAGATATCACCACCATAAATTGGAGTAAACGGTATTATAGGCAACAGATATCACCACCATAAATGAAGGAATGCATTGTAGCCGATAGAAATAAAGGGAACAATCCACGATCCTAAACACATTTGTGAAAACAAAAAGAAATAAACAAAAATATGAACACCATAATATTATGTTACACATCTGGAGATTGAAAGTCTTCTAATTCGTCGAACAACTTATTCGGCCTGAGTATACTCTACCAATATGCGAGGAGAGCGGTGGATTTCAACAAGTGTCCAACACAGAATATCTTCAACTTCAAGCTTTCCTATATGTCTTCCACATACTCCCATCAATCTGCATCAATAAATTAACAAGCCTATACCAGTTACTTCAACCTGTATCAGACACTACCATAGTTAGATATCATCATTCCTCACTATAGTATTTATATCGGGCAATACTCTCATCAATTCTTCTTTTCATAGCAAGTAGCAACATTGGCGAGCATGCAACATGACATACTAATGTAATGATTCTTTCATGAGACAATTTTTGTTCTTGTGTTTATTTGGTTGCGGTAGAGTTTCCGTGGACACTAATTTGCATATTCAGTTTCAAACATTAGACTTTGAAGTAATGCATGTATCATTCATACCCGTAAGTGTCTCAAACCTTGGCAATGAAGTACACTGTTCATTGCGTTCGGGTTCTTCAATGGTGACCCGAGCTTTGCAATTATAGATCAATTTGAACACATATTTGGACCAGATCAGACTCATTCAAACATTCAAAAACTCTATATTTATCTTGGATTTATCAAACAGTTGACGTGTTCGCAGTAGAAATTGCGGCAGATAACTTGCTGCTCAGGAACCGAATCCTTAACTGACTTGGTTCTTCTTTCAGAAGAGTTCTCCAAGTGCTTAGAGACTTATCATACCATCAATTTCGCTACCTTCGTTAAGTGAGGTGACTAGTCGAAAGTGGCCCTAGTTTGGGACAACTTAGACTTCAAGCATGTTGCGGCCAATATATCATCGTCGAGTTCCATATCTTTCTGCAATCCTCGGATAACATACTGGCATGTTAAACTATTTGGAACAAACCCTATCTTGACAAGCTTATCTTGAAGTTCCATCAGCTCGGCCACATTACCACCCTCACAAAAAACTTTAACAATTGCATTGTAGCTAACGGTATCGTAAACTTGAAACTCCTCGGCAAAAAATTTCAATAGCAACACAGCTTTTTCAACATCATTTTCTTCACAATAACCATTTATTAACGCTCTCTTTATTTCTAAATCAGGTAAAATACTTAAACTAACCATTTCTTCCAACATGCCTTCAGCTTCTGAAGTCCTTTTTACTCTACACAAGCAACTTATGATAGCTTTATAGGTAGTGAGATTAAGTTTCATACTCTTTTTTGTCATCTCGGATATCAAAATCAGCGCTTCGTCCACATTATTGAATCTACATAGAGACTCTACAAGTTTAATGTAAGTACCCATTTCGGGCACATATCCGTCTTGAGATATCCTTATCAGAAAACTTCGAGCTGCAAACGGTCGACCTTCTTTACACAATGCAACTAAGAGATAATCATATAAATTTTCAGGAATCGTAACTCCAAATCTCTGAAGCTCCGCAACCAAATTCAACGCCGACAAAAGCTTTCCCTCCTTTGCATATCCTTGAAAGACAATCCTACACGTGACACTGTCAGGACGAGTCCCGGCTCCTATCATTTCGTGCAATAGTGATCTACACATTTGCATCTTACCTTCTTTGCAATAACCGGATACAAGAGTATTATACGACACAACGTCCGGATCAATTCCTTTTTGAACCATCTGATTAAAAAGCTGATGAGCCTCCTTGATCTTCCCTTCTTTACAAAGACCGTTCATTAACGCACTATACGAAATCAAATTAGGAACCACGCCTCTGATGCACATAATCTTATAAAGATAAAAAGCATCCTCCATCCTTCTTTTCCTACAATAGCCATTAATGAGCGTGTTATACGTAACCAAATCCGGTTCAAATCCTTCCTCCTCCATCTTCTCGAGAAATCCATTCACTTTATCAGTATCTCCATCTCGACACAAAACATGCGTCATAATATTGAAAGTATAAACATTCCTATGTAATCCAAGTCTTCCCATTTCTTCATACACTTCCCAACATTCATCAATATAATCAAACTTCGACAAACCATTCAACAAACAATTACAAGCAACAACGTTAGGAACAAAACAAGCCTCGACATTGTTCCTAAAAGTGTCCAAGCCCTTCTCAACCATACCTAACTTCACATAAGCCTTAATAAGCATATCAAATATCACAGGATTCCAATTACAATCCTCAGTACAACCAATCAAACTCTTATAAATATCCTCATCAGGAACATTCAATTGTATCAATTCAGACAACAATTTCATAGCTTGAGGGAAAACTTGAGACCAAGCAAGTATGTGAATAATTATGCAATAATTTTTCACACTGTGTGTGATACTCAAATCATTTGTAACCCAATTGAAAAATGTGAGTGCTGAAGAGTAATCAGATTGGCATCTAAACAAAATCCTAGAAATTTCATGGGGGCCCATGTGAGGAAGAATCCCTTTGATTTCTTCCTGAAAAAGGGAAAGATGGAAACTTTTTTGTTTGAGGAGTGAAGAAATGAGGTTTACAATGTTGTTGGGGTTTTGGGTCGGTGGAAGAAGATTGTAAAAAGGACTTGAAATTGGTTTTGACTCAGAATCATGGAGAGTGATTAGAGAAGAAGATGAAGAAGAATAAAAGAAAGAATTTTTAGTGAAAATGAAGTGAGAAAGAGAATAGATTGAATTTGAGGGTCGAGGAATCATGATCATGAAGAAGAAAGACATGGAAACGAACAACGTACCGTATTGTGGCAGACAACGGCGGTCGGAGAAAGACGAAGTTGCAGCGTAGAACGTTGTTTGATGTTTTTGCTGTGAACGCGCACTGTTCAAATTAAAACAAGAATTTAAAGTTTTAATTGTTCTTCATTTACAGAGCAAAATTAAGTATAAACGGATACGACATTAATGCAAAATCGAATTTTGGAAATGGAAGGAAATTGCTTGGCCCTGGAAATTGCAGATAGAATGAAACATTATTTCCTAATCTAAAACCATGAATTAATTTCTAGCCATAAACTTACAGACAAGCTTTCAAAGCAATTTATCTTAATTTGGGAACCGAATTAAAAACGCAGACAAAAAAATTGTAATTCCTAATTTGATCTAAGCCTACTATCACTATAAATGAGGAACGAAAACTACCGATTAAGGGGGGGAGAAGAAAAAGTTTACTGAAGAAAAAGGAATTTACAGAAGAGAAAAATATTTACGAAACCTAGGGCTTCAATTTCTGAAACCCCAAGTTCTTCACTCACCGTTGTTGGGCTCTTCAATCTGCCACCACGCTAACCAGCCACCGACGGTGTCTCTCTCTGCGCGTAACTTACGTATCCGCCATAAGCCGCTGAAAACCGACGAAGGCCAACCGTGAAGGACCTCCATCGGATTCTCGCCTCCACGACCATAGGTACGATACAAATTTCCAATCGATTTGTGTGTTGTTGTTGTTTGTTCTTTGTATTTGAAAAAATAGAAAAACTTTGAGAGAAATTTGAGAAGAAGTTGAAGGAAGAGAGAAGAGAGATTCACACTAGATATCTTTCTCATAGATAGATAACAGGGTATGAATTCGTATGGTCATGTTCTCTTGAGTGAAATAAAGATAAAATAGAAATTAGCTTTTGGAGAGATGGTTGAGTGGTTGATAGCTCCGGTCTTGAAAACCGGTATAGTTTGAAACAAAGAACTATCGAGGGTTCGAATCCCCCTCTCTCCTTTTTCTTGGCGAATGGATTTTTTTATTTTATTGATTCTTGATTTAGGTTGGCTCGGTTTTTTGGGCTCGGCTAAGTGGTGATATAGCCGAGCCCAAAAAAAGATTAGATATGAATGAATTGAAAAACAAAATATTTTTTTAATGATCTGCTCGACTCAACCCAATATGTATACTAAAATCAAAGTGATTCTTACGTCAAGCATTGGATTTCATGTCTCAATTAAGAGGAGTCATGGAAAGAACAGGTTCAAAATCTCTATCAATTCCTTTTTCAAATCCTGCGGCAGCTGCGCGAGCTCATCCCGCGTGCCATAAATGACCTACGAATAGGAAGAATCCTAGAACAAAATGAGAAGTAGCTAACCAACTTCTAGGAGATACATAATTGACTGCATTAATCTATGTAGCTACGCCACTGACGGAATTTAAAGAACCTAAAGGAGCATGAGTCATATATTCTGCGGAACGACGTTCTTGCCAAGGTTGTATGTCTTTTTTCAGTCTACTCAAGTCCAAACCATTAGGACCTCTTAGAGGTTCTAACCAGGGAGCACGCAGATCCCAAAAACGCATAGTTTCTCCTCCAAAAATGACTTCTCCGGTCGGAGAATGCATTAGATATTTACCTAAACCGGTAGGCCCTTGAGCGGAGCCTACATTAGCTCCAAGACGTTGGTCTCTAACTAGAAAAGTAAATGCTTCAGCTTGAGAAGCTTTCGGTCCAGTGGGACCATAAAACTCACTAGGATAAGCAGTATTATTAAACCAGACAAAGCAACAAGCTATAAAACCAAAAACGGCTAAAGCACCTAAACTATAAGATAAGTAAGCTTCTCCAGACCATACTAGTGCACGCCGAGCCCGTGCAAAAGGTTTGGTTAAGATATGCCAGATTCCACCAAGTATACAAATGGAACCCAACCATACATGTCCCCCAATTATATCTTCCAAATCGTCTACACTAACAATCCAACCTTCTCCCTCAAAAGGCGATTCCAAAGGGATGGGTCATAATTATTATGGCGAACCCGCATGGCCTAATGATCTTTTATATATTTTTCCAGTAGTTATTCTGGGTACTATTTCCTGTAACGTAGGCTTAGCGGTTCTCGCACCATCAATGATTGGGGAACCCGCAGATCCGTTTGCAACTCCTTTGGAAATATTGCCCGAATGGTATTTTTTTCCCGTATTTCAAATACTTTGTACCGTACCCAATAAATTATTGGGTGTTCTTTTAATGGTTTCAGTACCGGCGGGATTATTAACAGTACCTTTTTTGGAGAATATGAATAAGTTCCAAAACCCATTTCGGCATCCAGTAGCAACAACCGTCTTTTTGATTGGTGCTGTCGTGGCTCTTTGGTTGGGTATTGGAGCAACATTACCTATTGAAAAATCCCTAACGTTAGGTCTTTTTTAAATTGATTTTATTGTAAAATATCATGACAGGTGTATTGTGTTGTGTATCTAGGGAAAATTCACTTTGAAATGACTAATCCCTAGATACATCTATTTCATTTTAGACCTATTCTGAATATATTGATTTGTGCTAAAGATTCAAATTTCATATTTGAACCTTTCTTTTTATAAAAATGAAAGATTCAGAAAAATCCAATATATTTTCAATTTATAAAAAAATGCTTTTCGATTTGTAAAAAGTTGAATAATATATTTTGTAAATCTTCTACGCGAAAATGTTCAATTTTCAGAAGGTCTTCTTGAGTCTTATTCAAAAGTTCAAATAATGTATGTATATTGGACTTTTTAAGACAATTATAGATCCGGGGAGGCAATTCTAATTGGTCAATAAAAGTATATTTCAGTTTCATTTCTTTTTTATTTTTCCTTAGTTTATCCTTAACCAATCTATCATGAAAAGTAAAAAGGGGCAAAGTAATTTTGTGTTGATTGTTTTCAAAATTTAAGTTTTCTTCTTCTGCATGTAAAAAAGGAATAAATAAATCAATCAAATTCCGGGAGGCTTCATAAAGTGCTTCCTTAGGAGTTAAACTTCCATTTGTCCATATTTTGAGAACTAGTATCTCTTGTTTTTCATTTCCATTCACATAAGAATGAATACTATGATTTGCATTTCTAACAGGCATGAATACATCATCTATAGTATAACTTCCATCTTGAATGTTGTTTAGTATTTTTATACGATATCCCCGCTTTCTATCAATTTCTAATTCAATACACAAATTAATAGGTTCTGTTAGGTTAGCTATATGTTGTGTATTATCAATGACTTCCACCGAAGGTGGTAAAATGATGTCTTGAGCAGTTACATATCCAGAACCTTTGAAACAAATAGACGTGTCCTAAGTTCCATACAGATTACTTCTCAATACAACTTCTTTTAAATTCATTAAAATTTCATATATTGATTCTTGAATACCTATTATGGTAGAATATTCATGTGGTATTTTCTCAGATTTTGCACGTGTGATACATGTTCCCTCTATTTCTCCGAGCAAAATTCTTCGCATTGCAATGCCTATTGTATCTGCTTGACCTTTCATAAGTGGAGACATAATAAAGCGTCCATAATAAAGACGCTTATTGTCTACCCTTGATTCAACACACTTCCACTGTAGTGTCTGAGTAGATACTTTTAGTTTTTCTCGAATCATAGTAATATATTTTTATGAAACTCTTGATTTAATTGTTTATTTCTCTTGAAATCTTTTTCTTTAATGTTTATTGTTAGTTTTACACACGTCTTTTTTTAGGAGCCCTACATCCATTATGTGGCATAGGGGTTACATCCTGTATAACCCTTACTCGTATCCGACTTCCAGAAATAGCTCTTAATGTCGCCTCTCTTCCTAGACCGGGACCTTTTATCATGACGTCTGCTCGTTGCATGCCTTGATCGACTACTGTTTGAATAGCATTTCCCGCTGCGGTTAGAGCGGCAAATGGTGTCCCCCTTCGTGTACCCTTGAATCCACATGAACCGGCGGAGGACCAAGAAATCACCCGACCTCTTACATCTGTAACAGTCACAATGGTATTGTTGAAACTAGCTTGAATATAAATAACCCCCTTTGGTATTTTACGAGGATACTTACGCGAACCAATACGTCCAATTTTACGTGAACCAATTTTTGGTATAGATTTTGCCATGTTTTATTATTTAAAAAAATATAAGTCCGAAATATATGGATATATCCATTTCCTGTCAAAAAACGATTCTTTACTATTTTCTAACTAGTTATTCTATTGTATTCTATAATTCAATTAATATAGAATACCATTTTCAAATATAAAGGAATAAGCAATTATATTTATGAGAATACTTATAACTATAGACTCTATTCGAATATAGAATCTATATTTTTAGATTTAGTATTTAATAAAATGGAATATTCATAAGATTTTTTATTTGAATTGAATTCAAATAAAAAATCTTATGAATAGAAAGCCCTTTTTCTTTTAATATTATCCTTGTCTTTGTTTATGTTTTGGATTGGAACAAATTACTATAAGTCGACCTCGCCTACGGATCAATCGACATTTTTCACAAATTTTACGAACAGAGGCCGCCACTTTCATATTTTTCACTCCTTAAATTAAATTGAATACCAATTTTATAGATTGCAAGAAAATAGGGTTTCCTTACATTTGAACTTCAAATTGTTCCTCCTAAAAAATATGTTGAAGTTATAAAATAGTCTAATCGAATGGAGTCAGCTATACTTCCTTTTTTGGTCGTATCCAGTGGAAACATAACCTAGAATCTGATTTGAATTCTATTTCTCTAAAGCAACCTCAACCTGCAACATACCGCAACCTCAACCTGCAACATACCCTCAGAAGTTGTTGATTAATTTAATCTTTATTAATTTTCATTTCTATTCTAGTTAAAACCTCTTCCCATATTCACTAATGTATCATGAATAATATTAGAAATCTGTTTTTTCTCTACTCCCTCCATTCACAATACTGTTGGCTCTAAGTTTTTTTCATATAATTCAGATATCGGCAAAATTAGCATTACCATATATAACATAAAACTTCTCCCCCGATTTTTTCTAATCGAGCCTCTCGATCTGTCATTATACCCCTAGAAGTAGAAAGAATTACAATCCCCATCCCTCCTAAAACTTTCGGAATTTTTTGATACTTAGAATATATTCGTAGACAAGGTGTACTGATCCTTTTTAAATTTAAAAAAGTTTTATAGGATCCTTTCCTATTTCTTCTATACCGTAGAGTTAAAACTAAAAAGTATTTGTTGCTTTCTCGATGTTTTCTGACGTTTTCAACAAAACCCTCTCATAAAAGAATTTTTACAATGTTTTCGGTGATATTAGTAAGTGGTATTTTAACAGTTCTTTTTCTATTCATGTCAGCATTGCGTATCAAGGTTAGTATATCAGCGATAGTATCTTTACCCACGATAGATTTTTGCTCCTTACTTTCGATATAATCAACGTGCTCCCGTTTTTTTATTTTTTATTTTTTGATTCAGTCAAATCTCTCATATTGAATATGAGAATAGAATAATACTCTATATGTATAGAAAATTTGATTGTAATTAGGATAATCTAAATATCCGAATATAGAATATTCTAAAACTAAAAAAAGATAGAAATAAAATGAACGAATGACCTATTCGAAACTATATAAATAATCTTATATTGAATTCGAATTCTATTTTTTTATACAAATAGAATTTGAATTTTTATTTTGAATATATTGACTTGAATATAGAATATATATTTCATTCGTATTCTAATCTATTTCCTATTCATTCAAGTCATAAATAATATATCTATATCATGATCTCTTATTATAATACCTCAGGTGCTAATGAAACTATTTTAGTGAAAAGAGCTAATTAAGAAAATGATCAGACTACAACCAGCAGAATTCTATTAAATCCTAGTATAGTAGAAAGAAATCAAATCTATTTCTTTCTACTATATTATCTATTACAGTAGAACTAAAATGTTTTACTAAAAAAAAAAGAGGTTTAATATGGAGGAACCAATCTAGAATTTTGTTTTCATATGGATAGATGGATATCTATCTATAGATATGGAATGTCAATTCCATGGCACCTCGATGTCGGCTCTTCGCCACCTGGAGTTGTAGTAGGTTCCAAGGGTTGGGCTGTTCGCCCATTAAAGCGGTACGTGAGCTGGGTTCAGAACGTCGTGAGACAGTTCGGTCCATATTCGGTGTGGGCGTTAGAGCATTGAGAGGACTTTTCCCTAGTACGAGAGGACCGGGAAGGACGCAACTCTAGTGTGCCAGTTATCGTGCAAACGGTAAACGCTGGGTAGCCAAGTGTGGAGCGGATAACTGCTGAAAGCATCTAAGTAGTAAGCCCACCCCAAGATGAGTGCTCTCCTATTCTGACTTCCCCAGAGCCTCCGTGTAGGGGCAGAGAACCCTCCCACCCTGGAGGGTGGGTTCTTCCTCTACGGGGACGGAGCAAAAGCCCTACGGGGACGGAGCAAAAGCCCTATGGGGACGGAGCAAAAGAAGTTTATAGAATAGAGGATCACGGCGAGATGAGCCGTTTTTCATTAACCATAGGTGTCAAGTGGAAGTGCAGTAATGTATGCAGCTGAGGCATCCTAACATACCCATAGACTTGAACCTTGTTCCTACATGACCTGGTCAATTCGATCAGGCACTCGCCATCTATTTTTATTGTTCAACTCTTTGACAACATGAAAAAACCAAAACCTCTGTCCCCCATCCCTTGAATAGATAGGGATGGAAGGGTAGAGGCCTTTGGTGTCCTCTCTAGTCAAGAATTAGGACCTCACACTCACAATGAAAAGTCAATATGCTTTTCTCTCATGTCTTTCTTTCGTTTATGGTTCAATATTCTGGTGTCCTAGGCGTAGAGGAACCACACCAAACCATCCCGAACTTGGTGGTTAAACTCTACTGCGGTGACAATACTGTAGGGGAGGCCCTTCGGAAAAATAGCTCGGCGCCAGGATGATACACTTATTCATTCTTATTCTCTTTGTCAATAGCAAAAGAGAATAAGAATGAATAAGGTCCTCTTATTCTAAACCCCAATTATCAAATCTCTCACACTTCACACCTCGGGACGCACAATCCTTATTCTTATAAGGAGATAGGCGCTTTCACATATTCTTAACCAAAAATAGCTGGGAAGAGGAAAGGTTTATTATAGGGTACTCCGGGGAACAGATCTAGTGGAGACAGGGTGGGGCCTGTAGCTCAGAGGATTAGAGTACGTGGCTACGAACCACGGTGTCGGGGGTTCGAATCCCTCCTCGCCCACAAGCGGCTAAAAGGGGAGGGACCTTGGGGATAAGAAAAGAAACTATGATTGAGGTTGAAATCAAATAGTCTTACATTTTTTCTTTCTTAAAGATATGAAAATATCCTATATTTAATAGGATAGCCTGAGACTATCGATCCCCATTATAGCAGAACATAATAGTATACGATGAGATAGAATGGAATAGAAACAAACTTTACACTTTCTTTTGATTCCAAATTATTGAATTCGAAATGAAGAAAATCTCCCCAAGTAGGATTTGAACCTACGACCAATCGGTTAACAGCCGACCGATCTACCACTGAGCTACTGAGGAACAACGGAAAATTCTATCCCATCTATATTATCATATAATAAGATATCTAATAATATATTATACTAAGACATAGAAAGAATAATATCACATGATAAAACATAGAATATCCTTAACAAACTTATATGCTTAACATATTTATATTATATGCTTAACAAACATAGGAAATATCAGATACTAACACAGAAAAGAATAACATAGAAGAACGAAGCAAAGAAAAAAAAAGAACACTGAAAAGAATAAATAAAGAAATTAGTTATTTATTTAGAAATGATGAAGTATTGAAGTTTATATCATTAATTATTTTCAAATTAACAAGAAGAAGATGTTTCTTTTGTTCTTTAGATCAGAAGAATTGATTTTAATATAATCAATAACATTAACATAGAAGATATAATAAATAGCATAGAAAATATAATCAATAACATTAACATAGAAGATATAATAAATAACGTAGAAAATATAATCAATAACATTAACATAGAAGATATAATAAATAACAGAGAAAATATAATCAATAACATTAACATAAAAGATATAATAAATAACATAGAAAAACAAAACAAAGTATATCAAAGAAAAACAAATTGAACACTCATGGAGGTATTATGATTTATAGCTTAGTTTGGGGAAATTCTCTCGTTGGTTTCTGCGTTAAAATACTGAATTCAGTCGTTGTGATCGGATTCTATTATGGATTTCTGACTACATTCTCCATAGGACCGTCTTATCTCTTCCTTCTTCGAGGGCAAATCTTAGGAAAGGGATCTGAAACGAAAATATCAGCAACAACCGGGTTTATTACAGGACAGCTCATGATGTTTATATCGATCTATTATGCGCCTTTGCATTTGGCATTGAGTAGACCTCATACAATAACAGTCTTAACTCTAACGTATCTTTTCTTTAATTTTGTACGCAAAAATGACAAACACTACTATTTGGGTTCGGGATCCAAACTGGATTCTGAATACAAGAATCCAAATTCAATACGTCATTTTAGGATTGTTAAAGTATTCTTTAACAATCTTTTTTTCCAGTTATTAAACCCCTTTCTTTTGCCAAGTTCAATCTTAATAAGATTAATGAACATTTATCTGTTTCAATCCAACAATAAATTGTTATTCTTAACAAGTAGTTTTGTTGGGTGGTTAATAGGTCACATCTTTTTAATGAAATGTATTGGATTGGTATTAGTCTGGTTACAGCACAAAAAGTTGATCAAATATAAGATAACTATGAGATTTGATAAATACATTCTCCTACAATTGCGAAATTATGTGGGGCAAATATTTGTTGTTTTTTCATTTGTTAGCTTTGCACACTATTTAGGCAGAACACCGCTCCCATATTATTATATTGAGGAAATGATGCGATACGATGACAGGGACCTGGAGGAAGTCAAAGCTGCAATAGATTGGGAAAAGGAAGAAACTAACGAAGAAGAAGAAGATATTACTGTTTATCTTTCTGATAAAAAAGAGAACACTTTCAACAAAAAACTCGCCCCGTTGGAAAAATCTCTTGTAACTACTCTTT